ACAACACACACAGAGACAACACAGACAGAGATCACACACACCGAGACAACACAGAGACCTCCATGTGCAGAATTCGTGGCGCAGCACTTTGTGAACCTCCATGCTCCGTTAGAGGCTCTGGCGGTTGCGTTGTCGCCGGTGGTCGCCGGTCCGTCCCTCCATTGTGATTAGAGTTTTCACTTGTTTCTTGACGCGCAGATGTCGTGGCAGGCACAGCACTTTGTGAACCTCCATGTGCAGATTACGTGGCAGGCACAGCACTTTGTGAACCTCCATGTGCAGAATTCGTGGCAGGCGCAGCACTTTGTGAACCTCCATCCTCCGTTAGAGGCTCTGGCGGTTGCGTTTTCGCCGGTGGTCGCCGGTCCGTCCCTCCATTGCGATTAGAGTTTTCACTTGTTTCTTGACGCGCAGATGTCGTGGCAGGCACAGCACTCTGTGAACCTCCATGTGCAGATTACGTGGCAGGCACAGCACTTTGTGAACCTCCATGTGCAGATTTCGTGGTAGGCACAGCACTTTGTGAAGCTGGAGTGCAGATTTCGTAACAGGCACAGCACTTTGTGAACCTCCATGTGCAGATTACGTGGCAGGCACTGCACTTTGTGAACCTCCATGTGCAGAATTCTTGGCAGGCGCAGCAGTTTGTGAACCTCCAGTGGCAGAGCGATGCGGTTTTTCTTCGGCTAGTTGTGGCTGTACACACATGTCTGCACAATACCTCGTACATCCGCCGTGCACATTACTCTCCCACACCTCTCTCCCACCCCTGTGTTGTGTAATTCTGATTAATTCCTGACAAGGCCATGTTGTAGAAGCTATTGAGACTCTGACTGCTTTGTGCTTTAGAAACTTAAGATTCGTAAAGAGCGGCGCTGTCTTAGTGTAAATTGCAATAGATCGGTCGGCTGCTGCGCTGTCTTAGTGTAAATTGCAATAGATCTCGCTCCGTTAGAGGCTCTGGCGGTTGCGTTGTCGGCTGTTGTCGCCGCTGGTCGGCTGCGACGCTGTCTTAGTGTAAATTGCAATAGATCTCGCTCCGTTAGAGTGTAATTTGCAATAGATCTCGCTCCGTCACAGAGTCTGGCGGTTGCGTTGTCGGCTGTTGTCGCTGCTGGTCAAAACCTCGTACATCCGCCGTGCACATTACTCTCCCACACCTCTCTCCCACCCCTCTGTTGTGTAATTCTGATATAATTCCTGACAAGGCCATGTTGTAGAAACTATTGAGACTCTGACTGCTTTGTGCTTTAGAAATTTAAGATTTGTAAAGATTCATATGTGGGGCCATCCGGTCCTTTAATTATGTGTTTTTTTGTTCTTGTCATCCTAGAATTGCAACCCACGCCTATGATGCTTGAGGGAATCGACTGGTATGACCTCCCAACCACTTGCCAAATGCAATCCCTGCAGTTGCTCAGAGGCCCCTTGTTTGGCACAAGGACCGCCTGATCCCCGGGCTTTGCTCCGGTTGTGCATAAATATTATTGTTTTCGCGCGCCGTAACAAGTGGCAGCCCGACATCTCTCGCTGCCCGGTACAGGCACCATGAACAAATGGCTGGATTTCTGTGTGGCTTACAACGACTTAAGGATCTTACTCTTAAAGGTTTGGTTCAGAAAAATGTTGCACATCTCTAGTTCCTGTTTTGCTGATTGGTTTCCGTACCATTTTCTCAGTGAGAGGAGCAGCTCACACGAAGCTTAGCTCGGGTGTTGTCAGGCATAGCGAAGGCCGCACGCGAAATGAAGTTTCGTGGGTCGCTTTCTTTTTCTCTCGGTTCGTGAGGCATACACTTGGGAAACTCAAACTTGGCGCTAAGCCCCTGGGGAGTTGCATGGGGTAACATGCATGCAACGCTTGACATGAAGAGTGGTGAGGTGCCGGTAGTTCGTAGAAATTTACATGCGGTTGTTGGCGGAGTGATTTGGCCTAGACTGTTCTGGATTGTTGGGAAGACAATTGGTCACTGATTCTAAGTATCCCGAGTCAATGGAAAACAAGAACATAATATGGCAACATGCGTATATATACATATATATTTACAGGGTATATATATATATATATATTGTTATAATGTATTGTGTACGTAATACTTATATACATAAAGACTAGACCAAAATTCTAGCCTAGAGATGCCGAGATGCCTGGGACCTTTTTGTGCCGTAGAGATCCACTGCCACTGAAATGGAAGGACCCGGTGGAGGATTTGGGGAGGAACACCCCTGGTGCGCCTCAAAGCAATGCATTTCCGGTCACACGGCATGGGGTGGTGCAACCACTCCCACAGAAAAGAGGCCTCCATGTTTTAGGCTACCAAGAGTTTATGCAAATTGTAAGGGCTCCGCCCTGGTGCCGCCGACCCCTTTTTT